GGCTAGAGCACAGCCAAGTACAAAGCAAAGGGGTATAGTGCAATCAACTGGATTTTGAAAGAATTGTATTTAGCACTGGTAAAATATGCCTCCTACAGATGCTGATATAGTGTTTATACGTTCATTGTTTTTCCAATGAAAATGAGCAGAGGAAAAAGAGAAAAGAAGTGGTTAAAATAAAATTGGAACTAAGTCAACAGTATACATACAAATCATTCTTGGAATTATTAAGGAACACTATAATGGTTAGGATGCATAGTGCGACCTGTTGATCACAATTAATGGAATAAAGGGAAATGGGAGAAATATATAAAAAGAAATTACCACAGGGAAATTGGTGGGTGGCTGCCTGAAAAATCTATCAGACAATTACGTCGAAGTGGGTAGATTCAAGAGAATAAATGGTCACATAGAGATAAATTCATAAAACAAAATCTGAAGGGAGAGCGTCAGCAGCAGTCCTCGTAACATTAGTGCTCCTGACATCCCAAGATGAAGACACATGCCAGAGAATGGGGTTGTTTTGAATAATAAGAGTAGGTCAAGGAGTAATTTCACACATTTTCACATACTGAATCCATTTAAAGGCCAGACTGTGAACCAGTTTTTCTAAGGCTACAAGATGGGGAAACAGGAAGTGAGTGGATGTGCCATGTTTATATTGCATTCTGGAGAGATGTTATCATTTAAGAAAGGCAGCAATAAAGATGACAGCTATCGATGATGGTGTGAAACGGGAACATGAAATAGGATAGGAAGACAGGTTCAAAGTCAGCACAGAGGAAATGTTGAAATTTCAGTGTGTTTGAGGAAAGGGAGGTTGGTTGCAAGACAAACGAACAGGCGAATGAGGTCTCAAACTGGAATCTTGGCAAGTCTCATTAACGGGTCAGATTTGGAGGAATATGGATTCTACGGCTAGGCTGATGCAAATTCTAGTGATAAAGGTAGGGGAAATGGTGGCTAAATAGTAATGTTCAACCTATCCTGCTTTTTTATTAGCATTTGAGTAGAAATTCAGATTACGTGCTTAGCTTGGAAGAATGCAGAGTTTCACCAAGGGTCATTAATATGGATCCCAGTGAGTGGCTGGAGGTGCGTCAAAGTAAAAAAAACAGATAAATTTTACTTAACTGAAGCTGTGGATTTAATTCAGATTGTCAGGAGTTAATATGGCTAATACTGAATAGCAAATAATGGAATGGAGACAACAGATTCAGTGAAGAGATTGGAGTTCATCAGGATCCTGTGGTAGCTCATTAAGATAAAGGTTTAAGGAAGTGTAGAACTGCAAGAACTGCAGTATGTATGTATAATATGAAAGAGTTATGAATTGTTAAATGGGAGGCAGCATCCCTAATGAAAAACAGAAAGAGAGGGCTTCCCTGGTGGCGCAGTGGTTGAGAGTCCGCCTAACAATGCAGGGGACGTGGGTTCGTGCCCCGGTCCGGGAAGATCCCACGTGCCGCGGAGCGGCTGGGCCCGTGAGCCATGGCCGCTGAGCCTGCGCGTCCGGAGCCTGTGCTCCGCGACAGGAGAGGCCGCAGCAGTGAGAGGCCCACGTACCGCAAAAAAAAAAAAACAAAAAAAACAAAACAAAAAAAAACAGAAAGAGAAACTCATATACATGTCCTGTTAAACTTGATCTTAGTATGGATATTTTCTATTGAAGGCTATTTAAATGAGTTATCTAAATTTGTTGAAATGAGAAATAATGGTGCAATGAGGACCAAGAGTTCAATAATAAAAGCAATATAGGGATTAGAATGGTTCTGAGTAAGTAATAAAGCAAAAAGGTAGAGTCATTACAGAGGTCCAAAGTGGGGAAAAATTTGTAGAATGTTGCATATATATGTTGTTACTGGTGTAATAAACATTCAGAGGAAGGAACGTTGCTGGATGAGAAAGGACACTAAGAAAGCATTCTGCCTTGAAGGCTTTTCTAGAAATTTTTCAGTAAAGAGTAGTTGTTGGAGGATGGAAGATAAGTAGGACTAAATTGAGACTTATGATGTTGATTACTCTTTCCACAATTTGCCCAAGATTTCAGGGAAGGAGTTATGGTAATATCTTGATGTTGAGTTAAAGTAAATTTTTTCAGATGGCATAGATTTTTTGTATACTTATAAAGTAAGGAGGAGTGGGAAAGTTTAAAGATACAGAAAAGGTAAGAACAGGTGATGGAATAACTTTCTGAGGATATGGGTGGGTGGGTATCTTTTGAACTGTGAAAGACTTGATTGTTAAAGAGGATAAAAGGAGAAAGTGGATAGTTTCAGAATTGAAACAATAATAGCCTCTATCTATTAAGTATTTACTATGTGTCTGGCACCACGCTAATCACGTTACTTAATTTCATTTTATCCTTACAACAATCCTAGAAGGTTTACAGAGATCAAATAACTTGCCTATGATTACACACTCAGTGTGTAACAGAGTCAGAATTCAAATCGAATTTATCTATCTCCAAAACCTACATTACTTTCTATTCTATACAGTTTTCCAGTTGAAGGAAATCACAATCTATAGAATTTCCATTTTTTTCTGTGACTATACGGAAAATATACTTTCTGAGATGAGACAAGCAGAGGTGATTGATTGTATAGATCTTCAGGTGATTGGTAAAATCCAGAATATCTGCAATGGGAAAATGCTGAAAGGAAGGCATGTGGAAAAGACTCTTATACCACCTATGCCCTGGTATTTCACTTCTATTCATTGCACAGCAAAGACTCTGGATTGGCCATGGATTAAAAATTTTAGAGTTTCTAACAAAGACTAAAGAATAGAAAGGAGTCTTTTTTTAAGCAGGTAAATGATAGGTAAAACGTAAATCGACTACTAACAAAATTTTAAAAGTCCAAGTGTTGAGACTTCCATTGGAAGAATTCCATTTCTTTTCTCCAAGATGCAATCACAAGAGTTTATAACTAAGTTTTAACACCAACCAGCAAACCCTCTGAATTTAACAGAAAAGAAGGAAAATTCTCCAAATGACAAATTTTTATAGACAAAATACTAACAACCATTGAGCAAAAGAGTCCATAGCCAGCAGACCAAAGGTTGAAACCTCTGGGCTAATTTGTAAGATCTGCTTTAAAAAGAAATTAACTCCATAGTAAGGAGGGGTAAGAAAATCTCCCTATGCTTTCTGTCTTAGTAGAAGTGTTTTCTGTTGTTGTTGTTTTCTCCTATACTATATGTAACTTATGTAATTTCAATATTGTTGTTTTATGTATTTTGATATTGTAAAATTGTATTTATTGTATTCTGTTAGAACCACTCCCTGGGGTGTGAGGCACCTGAGTTATCAGTTATCCAAGTGAACCTGGGGAAATGGGAGGAGCTAGTATTCTCAATTGGGGAGAGCTTGATTCTTTAACCAATGAGTTCAGCATTTTGCTTCCAAAATTAAGTAGCGAAGTAATGGCATCCCTTAAAAAACAGAAACTTAGTGGGAAGTAAAATGGGGTTAGAATTTTGAAATATGGAGAGGTGCCTACTGGAAAAAACTGAAGAAGTATGGTGTATCCCAGGATGATGGCAGAAGCCATAGGGCTACATTAAGACTGGGCCCAGATAGTGGTTTAGAATAAGGGTAAATAAGACTAGCTTTATTTACGTAAGAGTACAGCCAGCTTAATTACTGGCTGGTGGACATAAGTCAAATCTAACCAGAGGGAAACAGACCAGGAAAGAAAGTGAAGCTAAAAGGGAATGGAATAAGAGAAACCTCATAAAGGGATAAAGGAGGTAATTAAAGGTTAAAGTTGGATGGCCTAATGCTCGAAGGAGAAATAGTGGAGGCCAGATAGGAAAGTGCCTTCCTACCCAGGAGCTTATGGATCCAGGGTGGCCGCAACTGCAGGTCCACCCAGGGCCAGAGGGAACAACCTGGGGTTCAGACCCAGCAATGGTGCCAACTTGAATCTACCTCGTGCTAGAGTTGAGTAGCCTGGTCTATCATCCAACACAGGTAAGACTGGGCAGGGGCTCCCAGAACCAACATCTAAAAAGGGAGTTGGGAGAGGGGCTAACGGAAGACAGGTTAAGCCCCAAATGTAATGAATGATGACCAGGGATAACTATTTACTAGTGCTTTTACGATTTCTTGTAACTCTGTAACTTTCCCAATATTTGTTAACTTCTATCTGATTTTTCCTGTATTAGTAGTAAAAATTGTTTTTTCCTGTATTAGTAGTAAAAATTGTTTTTTCCTGTACTGGTAATAAAAATCGTTCAAAATGTAAGTGCAATGTGTGTGCTTATTTCAGTGAAAACTGGGTAACAGTTGTGAAAACTCTGCAGTGACTATGGGAAGAAAAGAACTCAGGTGGGAAAATGGGAAAAAGAAATCAAGTACAACAAATACTTGACATTCATAGGTTAGAAGATCTCAAACCCCCAATTTGTAAATACCACTGGCACTAGCAATTGGCTGTTCTTCACAGGCCTCCCCCCCCCACCCCCAAGACTGCATACAGGTCAAGCAGATTACAAGCCCTTCTCAAATGTGGATACACAGATGTTGGCTAAGCCACTCATTAGGCTGAGACATACTCTTAGACACTTGCCTCGTGTTACAGGACCCTTAAAAACAATATATTTTATGATGCCATGGATCTACTAAATAAAAAGTCCTTAGGATGACCTGGAAAGAAACATCAGGGAGAAGTAGGCCATGATCCTTCATAGGAGACATCAGGCATATGAACCCTCACTAGTGGTGACACTATTCCAACAGAAAGTCTGAGTTCCTTTTTGGGCTACCACTGTATACATCCAGTTTCTGTTTTACAATTAAATGTCCAGCATATTTTACTCAGAAACTTGGTTATAAAATTAGTATTTCTGTAAGCAGTAACTCATTTTATAAATATACCATCATTTAATTCCGGAAAAGAAACAAATTCTTGAACCCCAAACATCTGTCCAGACATTTAAGAGCTCAAGTGGTAATGCACTCTTAATCATATCTCTTCCATTCTGTGTGTTATTACCTGCTGTAGAGTCATCATCAGGTAAACGAACAAGAGTGTAGCATATTCCTGGTTGATTATAAGGTAGGCTGGGGACTGGGATACAACACAGCACTTCATAGGAATCTGATGGTTCCACCTGCACTGTCACTTTCTCCAGTAGCTGGTCATTGAGAGTATTGGTACAGTCAAACTGAAAAGTCAGCAAATAGGAAAGTTATGAAGGAGAAGAACTGTTTGCAAGCAAGTTGTTCCTTCCCACCCATAACCCACGACTGAGTTCTGGAACCCTCTATACTTTCTAAACACCACGCATGTCTCCCCGTAAGATTTTTCCTGAGGCAACGAGGATAACCTTATTCTTGAGGTCTTTTTTGTTTATATTAACCAGTGTTTTCCTCCTTCCTGAGATTGAGTTCTACCAAACAAGATGGTAGAAGTCTGATAGCTGTCTGAGAACCAAACTGAAATCCAAGTTCTTGGAATGACACTTATTTTACCCTGATATTAAATGATGACTATTTCTTCCACAGGTTATCCTTTATGCTGTCCAACTTCTTCAGACATTTCAGTTTTATGTCTTTTTAAATTTAAATCATCAAAAGCTACCCATCACATCTCTACGGCTATGGAGTTAGGAAAGAAAACCAGATATGCTGCTAAATTTGCTTCTCTATAAAAGGGACTAGAATCATAAATAAACTAAAAGGGGATTAACACTAAACCCCTTACTGGAGCCAGTTCTGGCGCTTATCTCACCTGGAACACAATATGATTGGTAAACATGTGCTTGATACAACGAACAAAATATTCTGTCTCTGCTTCTGTAAGTTGAACAGGCTCAGAAGACTTGAACAAGGGTCCTAGATTCATAAACTCAGGAATGACAGCCAGTTGTTCTATCAAGAAAAAAGGAAAGAAAAGGAGGAGGAAAGTAAGAAGACAGGGAAGACATTACTCTGGGTGTCTAAAATGTTTTAAGTTTCCATAGTCTTACTAATAGTTGAACACTCAACTAATGTGTCCCCAAGCTTTAGTGAAATAATCTTTTAAGTAAGAGTTTATACACTCAATTACTAAAAGCAACAAACAGACAGACAAACTTAATTCCTAATTTCATAGAATTTGAGTTCCCTGATACAGAGTAAGAAAAGCATTCTCCGTAAGCTGGCAACTGGAAATTGCAAAGTCCCACAGACTCCAGGTAGCGCCCGCAACTGTAAGCTAGGACAATCAATATTCGGCCATACAACGAGCTCCCGTACTGAGAATTAATCAAATTGAACAAAAGTAGTGGCCTTCATTATACTTACAATGCCTCGGGTGCTAGGCTACTGCTTCTACACATCAAATCATCATACCTTGGAAAATGTCTTGCCTGGAAGGAGCCAACTTCTCGGGCTTAGTAGCCATCAGTGTGATTTCTACAAAGACAAGTATGAGCAATCAAATGAGCTTCCCTCCTACTATCAAGCCAAACATGCAGACAGGAGATGAGGACAGAAACGTTAAGCAGATAAACATAAGGTGCTATTGCTGAATCACACCGGGAGGTTCTCTGTCATCTTTTTTGGAGGAACACTCAAAATGTATTTAGTGAACATATTTTATGAAATAATAAAGTAAGTCCTAAAAATACAAAATTTGCTTTAATGAACCGAAATGTTTTTTTAATTACTCTTAAAAGGAGGAACAGTTTATAAAACAAATCTCGTGATTCAAACAGGAAAAACTACTTATATAGTACCAACAAAAAAACCTGAAAATGTTGAAAGCGTAAGCTCTTTCATTTTTGGTTCTAACCACTACACACTTTGTTCCTTTATTTTTTTAAGCCTCCAACAGAAAAATTAATTAAGAAGTTAACTAGTATCGGAAAATAAAAATAAGAGGTGACAGCACAATTACTGCTCTGAAACACACGGTGACAACTAACTTCAAACGCTGTAACACTTAGCATTAAAAAAAAAAAATTTCAATCTGAGTCACAATTCATATTCTTGCTTTCATGAGAAAACAAGGGAAAAAATTTTAAAACCCTAATTTAAAAAGAATCATCCAGGGGGCTTCCTTGGTGGCGCAGTGGTTTAGAGTCTGCCTACCGATGCAGGGGACACGGGTTCATGCCCCGGTCCGGGAAGATCCCACATGCCGCGGAGTGGCTGGGCCCGTGAGCCATGGCCGCTGGGCCTGCGCGTCCGGAGCCTGTGCTCCGCAACGGGAGGGGCCACAACAGTGAGAGGCCCGCGTACCGAAAAAAAAAAAAAAAGTATCATCCATCTTAGTTCTGTAAGATTAGAAGCAGTGACCATTAAAAGAAATATTAAAGAAAATATGCTAACAGTGTATTTTATTGGTGTAAAACTACTTATACATAGAAAAACTAACAGTGTTACCCTTACCTGCTTTCTGTTCAAAGACAGCAGCCATAGCAAGAGGAATAGATTTCATATCAAAGGGCTTTTCTGAAGGCTCCAGTGTGTACTGGTGTAAGGCTTTCTCCATCCCTGGTACAGAGACTGCCAGACCTATGAAACAGAAAACGCTCAGCACTACTTCTTGCCAATCCTAGGACCCAGATAGGCCCAGATTTGTAATATTTATCTAAGCTTTCTAAAGAAAACTATAACCACAGATTTTATAACCTAAATAATAAAAAATAAAGGCTCTTATAATTTCATCCAAGGAAGCATAGGAGCAGAGCATAGGAATTTTCAACAAAATAGAAGTATCTTCCAGAAAACAAAGCAACGGAGACACATGGAAACGATGATAGCATAAGGGAAAAAAGGTAAACCCATCCAAGAGGGAGCTCAAGGAGGACCAGGAAAAAGCAATATTCTTTGGGCTTTTACATACTTTAGGTCTCCCTAGAAATGGAAGTGCATTCAAAGACAGAAACCAAGCATTTTGCCTAGTGAAGCCAGCTCATATGCAAATCATCATGGATATGCTTCTCAGACACCATTTGTGGAACAGAAGTGTACTTGTCTCCATTCTTGGCTCTCACTGACCATTGAAGATATATGTAGCATTCAGCGCCATCTGCCTCTGCTGCAGCACATTCAGATAGAAGGTGGCTCTATCCCGTACCTCATCATCAGTATCCATCATACACCTGTCCAGGGATACAGAAGATACATGTCACAGCACCGTAATGATTTCCAATAGCTTTACCACTATACCTAAAGGACACGATCCAGGCCATCTGATACTGCCTTTATAGAAGAGCTCAACAACAGCCAACGGTGGATCCTAAAATCTCCACAAATACCGGGTACTGTTCTCAATTGGTAAAGAAATGGTGTCATTATGAATCAGAAGCACTACATAAGTAGGCATTAAAATAATTAGGAAGGACACAATAACATAAGATAGCAGTTTGGAGTCTATTCTTGGATCTGCAACCACATGACCCCGGTAAAGACTTAGACTTCGAATATAATTTAAAAATGGTAATATTATACTTTCCAAGGATACTAAAAAGCATTCCGAATCCAGGCATTGATATCACTCAAATGGCAATTTATTTGATTTAAACCAGCCAGCCTTTGGCTTGTAATTTTTCTGCTTCAATTACAAGATGTAATCACAGAGTGTTTGCTAAAGCAAGTCTTTTCCTCATCAAATAGAGTCAAGGAGACCATGAAAAGCTGGTATTTTCAACTCTACATAGTGAATCTCTTTGAAGTTGGCCCCTGTTATACAAATTGAGGCACATGTATTTAAGTCACTTCCTCAAAATCATGCAAGAGAAATTAGAAGTCAAATTTTACATGTACTTAGCACATGCAAAATTACCAGAAGAATAAGAAAAATGCCATTTGCCCTGACTCCATCAGCTCTACTCTTAGGTCCTGCAATGCATTTTGATATGGTACAATGAGGAATTCTCTATTCAGCCACATGGCATTCTTATTTTAAAAAGAAAAGAAAAAGACATTCTTTTAATTACCTTTGTAAGAGTACTAGGATACTTGGGAGAAGATTCTCATTCTGAGCCCCAAATTTAGCCAAAGCACTCACAGCAGCTGTAATGGAGCATAAAACAAAACAACATGAATATTGGCTTCTCAGAGTCAAGCAGTAATCATTAAAAAAAAAAAATTAGAGGAGTTTCCCCATGTTCAGTTGGAATAAACTCTTATTGTTTTATTGTGAGTTTCTTGATCTTATTTCCTTGATCCATTTAAGCATAAATAGAAATCAGCAGGCCCAAGAGAGCTCTGAGTAAGAAAACCCACCATGCATTGAGGAAAAAGGATCATATGTATTCCTTATATGAGCTATCTTCCAGTCCAGCTCCTTATAAGCTCTAATCTTAAACAACCAGCCCCACACATTAAAAAACAAAAACCAAAACCCAAAACTCTATTATTAAAAGTCACTGTATCAGCAGAGGTTTACTGCTTACTTAACCTTTGTCAGGAGTTGTGCTAGATGCTGGAAGCAGAAAGACAGAAGACATCAAGGAGTTGTCCTCCAGTGGGAAAGACAGGTAAGTAAAGAGGTAGTTACAACATAGCACAGAAAGTCCATGGTAGGACTATAACCAGGGTACTACGTGAGTAGAGAAAGGAATGTAAGTCACAATTGGAGAAGGAGGAGACAGACAAGGAGTTGACACTTATTACTTGAGCTAAAGTCTGAAGAACAAATACAGTTAGCCAGAGGGAAAAGGCAGGAAAAGAGCATTCGAGGGAGAGAGAATAAAAAGTACCAAGGCCCTCAGGCCAGACAAGAAAGTGTGGCAAGATCCTGGGACTGGACACAGCTGAGCAAGGCTGAAGCACTAGACCTGTGCTGGAGAGCAGGAGAAAAGTGAGAGACTAGAGACAAAACAAAATTCGGTTATGGTTCAACCTTAAGGCTATTATTAACGGGTGTTAAATACAGGATGAATCTGTGTATTTGTAGCAGAGTGTACTACTCTAAATTTGTGAGATTTTATGTCTAACGACCACTTTGGTAGCAGAGTGTGGAGAATAATATACTGGATATGGGCGAAACTACAAGCAGTCAGACTAGTTGGGCAACTGAAATGGATGGGAGCCTAATGCAGCCCTCAGGAAATCTACGAAAAAAGACAATGAAGAAATGCATTTTGAGGAGACAGAATGGAAAGAACTTTGCCAAAGGATAGATGGGGGTTATAAAACAATGGAGTGAGGTTCTAGCCTTGCAACTGAGTGGATGATATAGGTGAGGATTTCCGTTTGGGATAGTTTGAATTTCAAGCTGAATTTAAAGTGCCTTAGATAGCCAGACGTACAAGTTCACGAAAGAGACTGCAATGCCACAGCATATCAGCAGAGCTCTGGAAATGATCACCAGAATGAATGTGTATGCTGAGAAGACAAACCCCTAAGGAAAACTAATGTTTTAAGGAATGGAACAGAAGCTCTATAAATAAGACTGAGGAGTGATGGAAAGATGCAGGCTATTGTGGAAACCAAGGGAAGAGAGTTTCACGAAGTGTTTAGGCAACAGTACATCAAATTGACTGAGGTGAACAAGGGTAAGAACATTAAAGTGTCTAACTTGATTTTCCAACTAGCTTATAAGTAATTTCCAAAAAAAATAGCTTCAGAAGGTTTTTAAGGGAGAGAGCAAGATTATAGTGAGTTGAAGAGAAAATGGAGAATAAGTTCATAGGGGCAGCTAGTAATAGCTCCTACAAGGTTACATAACAGGGGGAGTATGGTCAGTAGCTAGTGAGAGACAATGGATCAAAGGAAGGCTTATAGTTTTAACAGGGGAGATTTGTACCAGTTCACATGCTAAGGGGAGGAGGAAGTAAAAAAAAACCCTAAGACCTGTTTAAAAAGTCACTTAAAAACTACAGAGGGCTTCCCTGGTGGCGCAGTGGTTGAGAGTCCGTCTGCCAATGCAGGGGACACGGGTTCGTGCCCCAGTCCAGGAGGATCCCGCATGCCGCGGAGCGGCTGGGCCTGTGAGCCATGGCCGCTGAGCCTGCGCGTCCGGAGCCTGTGCTCCGCAACGGGAGAGGCCACAACAGTGAGAAGCCCGCGTACCACAAAAAAAAAAAAAAAAAAAAAACAACTACAGAGGCAGAAAGACACACAAATTTCACAGACATTCATACTTATGGCCATAACTCGGAAAAAATGGATGACGCCATCATAATCTTCCGTCATACCGAAAGTCAAGGGTTATTTGTCTCTGATACAGGCAGAAATCAGGATGGAAATTGGAATACAAAGAAATAGCTGTACATCTGGGGCTTAAGTGTGCTCCAAGATTCCACCATCAAATAGACGTTGCAACTTCATTTTCCAATTTCATTACCACCCCCTTGAGTTAATAAGCATTTCACAAGATCAGCAGTTACACCATTATTAGTGTTGCAATGACTCACCAGCTCTGACAGCCTCATTCTCCAGTACCACCCTATTAAAAATAAAGCGGATATACTTGGAGGGGACAGGCGTTCTGGGGCCCTCTTTGCCCAACAAATGTAGAATCTTAGTAGCCAAAACAGTGTGTTCACAGTCCTCGATGAATTCACAAAGGTGGGCTAGACCTGCCTCTTTACTGTCAGGGTTCTCTTCCACAATGCTGATTATGCAGTCCACAATGGCTCGCTTATATTCAAAGCCTCCCTGGCAAAAGAGAAAACTGCCATTCATTCTGAGGACACTTTTTAGAGAAATGCTTATACTCCAAGGCTCATGCTATAACATTCAGATTTCATTTCCCTTCCCTTATGAAAAAAACAAAAGCGTTTTTTTCCTCCAAGTGGGAAAGCCAAAGCAATATAGCATGTCTAGTAATAAGACAGAAAACAGAATTAGGCACACTATTTGAGATGCATACTGAGATGATAAAGAAAGCTGCTTTAAATACTACGGCATAAGAATTTAAGAGAGCAACTTCACATGATTAAAAAGTAGTGCACCTACGTCATCTCGGAGCATGTTGGAGAGGAAAGTCATCATGACGCTGTGCTTTCGAGGGTATTTCTGACAGAGAGCACTAATTGCCTGTACAACCACCACCTGTAGAAAAACAAACAAAAAGGACATGCACCTTTATAATGACTGTACAACTACCACCTAGAGGAAAACACAGAAAGGACGTTCATCTTTATAACTTTAGCTACTTATGTACTGTAAGCTAAGAAAGCACTATAGTTAACTAAAATAACAATAATGGTTCTTCATGAAAGATAAGCAAAAGAGACCTCAGAGGAAAATAAAAAGCAATGTAAAAATGAAGTGTATTCAAGAGACCCCAGGGCTTCCCTGGTGGCGCAGTGATTGAGAGCCCACCTGCCAATGCAGGGGACGTGGGTTCGAGCCCTGGTCCAGGAAGATCCCACATGCCGCGGAGCAGCTGGGCCTGTGTACCACAGCTGCTGAGCCTGCGCTCTGGAGCCCGCGAGCCACAACTACTGAGCCCACGTGCCACAACTCTGGAAGCGCGCGTGCCTAAAGCCCGTGCTCCGCAACAAGAGAGGCCACTGCAATGAGAGGCCTGCACATCACAACAAAGAGTAGCCCCTGCTTGCTGCAACTAGAGGAAAGCCCGCGAGCAAGCAATGAAGACCCAGTGCAGCCAAAAATAAATAAATAAAATTAATTAATTAAAAAAAAAAGACCCCACCCCTTTGCTCCAAGCAAATGAGCTTTGAGCATATTTTAAAATTTTACATTTAAAATTTTCACATACAAATTTTAAAGTGAACAGTAAAGATAAAAAGCTTAAGGACTCATTTCCATAGAAGAAATAGAGAAAGTTACCAAAGAACTATTTCACAAAATGGTTTCTAGGAAATTTTTACCACAACTTTAAAGACCAGTGTCAAGAAGTAAAAAGAGTGTGAAATTTTACCCTACTTGCAAGCTAACAGGTTAGACTGCTACAATTTCATGGATGCTAGAAGAATACACAAGAATCCTGGATCAGAGATGAAAGACAGTTATTTAATGACAGCAGAAGCAGTAGCCAGGATATCAGCATTTGGGGGTCAGTTTCCTAAGCCCCAGTTACCATAGGACAATGCAAAAAGGGCCAGATAATACTTGAGCCCACAGTAGGCTGCATTACAGGAGATTTTGAGATATGGAACTTGAATATTTTACAGTGGGCAGTAAGCATGCCAGTCCTCTATTCAGAAGGGAAACATTACCTTTATTATACTAGGCAATAAGCATGTTTGCTTTTTGCTCTAGAGGCAGGACTAGCTGTATCTTCTAGGGCTGTATGGAAACCGGCCATTTACTACTTTTAGGGAGATGCTGTATCTTTTGAGACTGGAAGAGATCTTGCACTACACAAAGGGGACAAAACTGGTACAGTAGGAAACAAAGGGCAGTTAGTGCCTAATTTGCCGGGTGTGCAGAAATGCAAGAAATTTATGGAAGACTGGAGAACTGTCTGCCAACCAGATAGTCCCAAATCTATATATGTTGTTTCAGAGCATAGAAAATGAAAGAAAACATCCACAATCTTTTATGAAGCATTGATATATAAACCTAATAAAGATGGTATACATACAAAAAGAAAAATTACAGATGGAAATCATTTATGAACATTGATGCAAAAATTCTAAGTGATACATTAGCTAACAGACTCCAACACTACAGTAAGAAAAGAATACGCCATGATGAAATGGAATTTATACTAAGAATGCAAGAATGATTCAACATTAGAAAATGAATATCATTCATCAATATTAATGAGTCTGAGGAGAAAAATCATGACTATATCCATAGATGCTGAAAAACCTTTGATAAAATCCAACAGTCATTCCTAATAAAAATTCTTAAAAAAATAAAACAGGAATGGACAGGCACTTCCATTTTACACACACACACACACACACACACACACCCCTCAATCGTACTGCCAGCATATTACTTAATAGGGAACCCCAAGAGTCATTTACTTTAAGGTCAGAAACAAAACAAGGATGCTATTGTCTCAACTGTTATTTGCCATTATTCCAGCACTATTAGCCAATGAAATTAGATAGGAGAAAACAATTAGAGGAATAAGAATTAGAAACTAAAAGACAAAACTATCTTTATTTACAGATGATATAACAGTATATCATGGAAACCCTAGAGAATTTATGATAAAACTAACTCAATAAAATAATTCAGCAAGGTAGCAGGCTGTAAAGTTAAAATGCAAAGATAATACTATTCATATACACAAATAATAACTAGTTAGAAAACACAATGAGTAAAAAAAGATTTATAACAGCAACAATAAAGTACATAAAAGAATTTTTAAAACATTCAAATCTAATATAAAAAATACTATAAAATATTCATGAAAGGCACAAAAGTAGACTTGAACAAATTAAGAAATATCCCTTTTCTTCATTAGGATATCTCAACATCATTAAGATATTTGTTCTCCCCTAAGAAAACTTATAAATTTAACGTGATCCCAATAAAAATGCCAATGAGTTTTTTTTGTTTGTTCATTTTGTGTTTTTTTGCCGCACCATGCAGCATGTGGGATCTTAGTTCCCTGACCAGGGATCAAACCCACGCCCACTACAGTAGAAGCACAGAGTCTTAACTACTGGACTGCAGTAGTTAAGTTACTGGACTGAAGTCCCGAGATTTTTTTAAAATGAAGCTAGACAAGTTAATACTAAAATTCATAAGGAAATATAAACATGTAAGAACAGCTAGGGAAAAAATGAAAATAAAGGGCTATGAGAGGAGACTAACAGATATTCAAACATCCTTACAAAGCTTCTATATTTAAAATAGTGTGTAGTACTGATGCATGAATAGGTAAAGAGAACAAAAGAACAGAATAGAAAGCCCCCAAATAGACCCAAGTACATATGGAACTTTAGTATATGATAAAGGTAATATCTCAAATACTGGACAAAGACAGACCTTTAAATAAAATTTGGGGGGGGCAACTGGATAGTCACTGGAAAAGGATAAGATTAGATCCACTTCTCATTTTACATACAATAATAAAATCCAATGGATCAGAGATTTACATGTAAAACATGAAAATATACATATACTAGAAGAAAACATGGGTGAATTCTTACACCCATTCAGATTCTATAGTCTGAAGGGAAAGGCCTTCTAACTATTACTCAAAGGCCCAATGTAATAAAAGAAAAGATCAACAAAAGAAGATGTGGCACATATATACAATGGAATATTACTCAGCCATAAAAAGAAATGAAATTGAGTTATCTGTAGTGAGGTGGATGGACCTAGAGTCTGTCATACAGAGTGAAGTAAGTCAGAAAGAGAAAAATAAATACTGTATGCTAACACATATATATGGAATCTAAAAAAGAAAAGTGGTCATGAAGAACCTAGGGGCAGGACAGGAAAAGATGCAGACCTACTAGAGAATGGACTTGAGGACACAGGGAGGGGGAAGGGTAAGCTGGGACAAAGTGAGAGAGTGGTATGGACATATATACACTACTAAATGTAAAACCGATAGCTAGTGGGAAGCAGCCACATAGCACAGGGAGATCAACTTGGTGCTTTGTGACCACCTAGAGGGGTGGGATAGGGAGGGAGACACAAGAGGGAAGAGATATGGAGATATATGTATATATATAGCTGATTCACTTTGTTATAAAGCAGAAACTAACACAACGTTGTAAAGCAATTATACTCCAATAAAGATGTTAAAAAAAAAAAGATCAACAAATTTGACTACATAAAAATTAAAAACTTGTGCATGACAAAAGACATCATAAGGAAAGTCAAAAGACAAATGACAAACTGGGAGAAAATATCATAACACATTTCACAGATGAAGAATAAATATCCCTAATATACAAAAAACTTTAACTGAGGAAACAAAAGACCAAAAATCTTATAGAAAATGGGAAAAAGATGTGAGCAGACAATATTAAAAAAGAGATATTAAATGATCTTTAAAAATATGCAAAAATGTTTACCTTCCCTCATCATAAAACAAATTCAAATTAAAACTACACTGAGACATCCTTTCTCACCCAACTGATTGGAAAAACTTCAAAATACAATATATGTACTCTATTGGTAAGGCTATGGGGAAACTGGCACTCTTTCGCACTCCTGGTAGAATTTAACATTCTCTACAAAACTACATATTTATTTACCTTTCAATCTAGTATATGAACTTCTAGGAATTTACCCTGAGGACACACCTCCAAAATTTCAAGAAAACACATGCAGAAAGTTACCCACTGCAGCGTTATTTGTAATCACAAAATACTGCAGACTATCTAAACATCCAAGCATAGGAGATTCATTCAATAAACTATATTACAGAATGACCTTCATAACCTCCCAAGGTTTCCCAAAGATTCAAAATGTCTACTTGAACATACAGGCTACATTTGTTTTTTAAAAGTAGATAAATACAAGAAAAGAGTAGATAGAGTCAGCTATACCTCTTGACTGAGAATTAAATAAAAATGAAGGAATAATATCTTTTTACTTTAATTCTTCTAACTGAAATTTATTGCTATTTTGATTATCTCTGACACATCCTCACCAGTTCTCTTCAACACTGTATTGGAAGTCCCAGTCATTTTAATAAGGCAAGAAAAAGAAAGGAAAGGTATTTGGATTGGAAATGAAGTAAAAATGTCTCCATTCATAGATAACATGACTATTTATATGGACAATCCTAAGGAATGCATATAACAACTACTAGAACCAATAAGGGGACTCAGCAAGGATACCGAATTATGGGAGAGTTAAAAAACAAAAAAGAATTTTTTTTTTTTTTTTTTTTGCGGTATGCGGGCCTCTCACTGTTGTGGCCTCTCCCATTGCGGAGCACAGGCTCCGGACACACAGGCTCCGGACGCGCAGGCTCAGCAGCCATGGCTCATGGGCCTAGCCGCTCTGCAGCATGTGGGATCTTCCCGGACCAGGGCATGAACCTGTGTCCCCCTGCATGGGCAGGTGGACTCTCAACCACTGCACCACCAGGGAAGCCCCAGAAAAGTATTTTTAATATACTAGTAGCAAACAATGAAATAGAAATGTTAATAAAATGGAATTTAAAAAGCATAAAATATTTATACATAAATTTAACAAAAGACGTGCAAGACCTCTAGAATAAATGCTGTAAAACACTGCTCAGGGAAAACAAAGAAAACCTAAATAAAGGGAGAGGTACACCATATTCATAAACTGGAAGAATAAATAATATTAAGCTATCAATTCTCCTCAAATTGATTATAGATTCAACACAACCCCCATCACAATCCTAGAAGGCTTTGTTTTACAGAAATTATAAGCTGGTTCTAAATTGTATATGGAAATAGGAACTAGAATATTAAAAAAAAAGAAGGACAAAGTTGGAAGACCACACATTTAAGAGGTACCATAAAGCTACATTAATCGATACAGTGAGGTACTGGCATAGAATTGACAAATAGTTCGATAGAATGTGATATGGATCCCAGAAATACACCTACAATTATATGGTTATCTGCTTTTTAGACAAAGATGCCAAGGCACACCAATGGGGAAAGAGAAGTGTTTTAAACAAATTATGCTAGAATGAGTGGAAATCAGTATGGAAAAAAACTGAACTTATCACACACAAATATTAATTCAAGTTGGATCACAGACCAAAATGTAAAAGCTAAAACTGTAAAACATTTACAATAAAACATAGGAAAATATCTTTAAGACTTGGAAATAGACAAAAGATTTTTAGGACACAGGAAGCAATAACTGTGAAGGAAAAAAATTAATAAATTAGACTTCATAAAAATTTAAAACTTCTGCTCATCAAAAGACACTGTTAAGAAACGAAATAGGGAACTGAAACAAGATGGCGGA